AATTCACTTATCAATCGCATATAAAATCATTTGTGAAATCATAAGAGAAAGTAAATTAAGATTATTTGCTGTAGTTAGAAGTCAATGAGCTCAAACTTTTCGTATCTAGTTCCAAAATTTTAGTATTTAGAAAAAATTAAATACAAATTCGCTTTCGATGAGTATTCATAAATAAACTATGTATGTATTTATCTGTGCGTCATGAACTCATATCTCAAGGACATCTTGAGTCTATTTCATCAACTTCAGTTGTGTTGACGCCCTGTAACATCACTCCTCAGCAAATCAACTCTCACGCTCATCTCCTTTACAAAAACTAAGCCAAAATGTGTCTTAATGCCGCACAATAAGTCGCACGATTAGAACTAGTGCTCACTGCTCACATGTGCCGGTCACCACGTGCACTTACGTTTTTTCTAAGCGCAGGCAGTGAACAGCGTGGAACAGCTGCCTTTGTTTTGTTCCTGCACAAAGCGGGTAGTCTTGTTTTACATACGGATTTACGATGTAATTAGTGCTTCCTATCCGAGTTAGTACGTAATTTAGACGTTTCATTACAGTTAGTTATTCATTAAATGGTGTATAAATAATTTTACGTTGTGATTTCTCTAATTGATTGTCTTTTAAGCTTCGTGTTTGTGATTCGTAAATTGTAAAAGGTAAAGAGATAAAAACTCAAGAGTTTTCTTCTTTCTTTAAAGGTATCTATTTGTATTTAATGGTTAGGTATATTTACTTGAAAAGATGATTTATCTACGCTCGTAAACATTTGTGTTTATTTTCATTTAATGCTATCTAGCGTTACTTATTGGTGCACATTTTGCTTTTAAGTTTATACTCAGCAGGACAATTTAACAATATGTGCCTATCTGTGTGGTTATGTGATAGATAAACGTATTGAAATAGTGAGTGGACTGTAAAACATTGGTGTTTAAAATGTGACGATCCATTCTACAATGGTGATATTGAGGAGGTTTATGGTATGTTCATGTGATTACTAACTACTATTAATAGTTATTATTTGCTTGCATCCAGTGTTATCCTTGAATTAAGTAATACTTATCATCTTGTTGGCATCGATAACTTTTCTAGAAGAAGGCAAAGATATGACACGGAATATTAATGAATGAACTTACCTCGGGCCCTCTTTTAATTTGTGGTTTGTTGTGTCGTTGGTTTCTTTAAATCATGTTTTGTGTTGGCATAAAAGTGCTAAAGTGGTAAATAGATGTATTTTTTCAAAGATCGATGGCATTTATTCACGACACAAACGCGCAAATCGCGAAATTACCAAATGGGGTACAAATAAGCATTTCTATTTTTATGAATTTCTTTGCAGTCTGCGTTGTAAGTTACTTATTTAAACTTTTTAATCGAACTAATTGCGGTATCTTTGTGACAATAGTGGTATGTTAGATTCGTACACATACTCACTCACAAATTGGATATTAAATACAAATAGTCTGAAACCAACTTATTCACCAATACCATAATTTGCCAATTCAAGCCATCAATCATAGGTACACAACACACTCATTTTTATAAGGCTCTCGGGTCATGGCGTTCTAGCCCGCGGTCAACGTTCGAATGCCACAAGGAATATCTTTTTGTTATCCCGTACGACTCCCCGCGTTCCTCAGGTGTAATTTGATAGCCAAATCAGCGTTAATCCTTTCGTTGCTAACAGACGGCCGTCCTGATGCCGGAATGTCCCCATTCCGCTTCGGCCATTCGAACGTTATGATGTATGTCCCCATACATGTATGCTATCTATATCGTTTAATTACTTGAGAATCAATTATCATCTGCAACACCTTAATCAACAGTTGAATCAATCATCCAGCTGAAATTCGATTCGCATTTGACAACACCAGTGTAGTGTCAACACCTCCTTGTGAATAGTTTCACCCGAGGACCTTAAATTAAACATTCTATTTTACATCTTCCGTCTTCGTTACATTTTCTTTTTCTCTTTTATTGCAATCATTCTGTCTGAGCGATATTCAGTACCATTTTCATAATAATAATTCTGGCGGTCTTCGAGGCCAGTGTCATAAATCAATCTTCTTTCAGTAAGTCCTGAGGTACTTTCTTCTTTAGTCTACGAACGAATACTTGAAAATATATCGTCCACAAATAAACTGTTATGTAGCTCCAGTTTTCATTATGATATGTTTAGTTTTATTATTTATTTCTTCTTTCACTGTTTTGATACCGAATTTTCGGTAAAGTCTCTCGTGACGTACCACGGTGCTTCTACAATATCTCAATACTCCATCGTATACTGCTGCTTTACCACATTAGTGCATTCACATAAAGATTTACAATTCAGGTAGCATCTTCGACAGTATCCATTGAAACTTCAACAAAAACGTTTGTCTAGATTGGTTTCATTATACACTTATACTATAACAAGACCTTATTTTCCTATTATTGTTGTCCTATTGCTGGACGTTTGGTAAAAATATGCTTTTACCACGTTACGTTTCATCCAAGTACATGCCAAGATGTAAATATCTCTTCATCGAAACTAATTTTGTCACGTTCGCTTTGACGTTCGTTATTTCATTTCATTATTTCGTTTCATTATTTCATTTCATTAATTCATTTCATTAATTAATTTCATTATTTCATTTCAATATTTCATTTCATTATTTCATTTCATTATTTCATTTCATTTCGTTATTTCATTTCATTATTTCATTTCATTATAAAATTCTTCTCATTTAAATGAATTACGACTTGTTGTATCCTTTGCAACTTAATTATTTATGTATGAATTTCATATACATAATGTTCCGATAATGTTCTATCACAATAACTACCCTGGAGCCTGGAGTCGGTCATTTGAAATGTTCGTAAACATCTGTGTCCACAGTTCCACACTTGTATCGACTTCCATGGACAAATTTTTCATATGTGGCCAATTAATTATTACATTATCAACATTATCATCTTCAACTTTTCATTATCTTATGCTATTAAATTCAGTTACGGTCTCATTACATTTTTATATATTTTCGGTATAATGTCATTATCTTCAGATTTTAAAAGAGGGAATCAAATAAGTATGCGTTATAACCCTTGTGAACTGGGTCGATCGTTGCAGAATTCAGTAAATACTTACTAACTCTTCCACCAATGAACTTGAATCATTTTAAAGAAGTTTAGTACCAAGTAAATACATGTAATGTACTAAAATAATGTCTTATTTGAACACTGGAACAGTCAGTTCGAGAATCGCCAAGATAAACGTAAACTTTTACTGTTTGCAATTATTGCTCTATTTTATAAATATTTCATTTAATCTAGTGATCGGGTTTTCAATAAAATTTTGTCCTCCATCAAAAGCCTGCTTAAGGTATCTTTTGCTACTCGTATTATAATTTGCACAATCAGAACAAATTCATCATAATAGTAACAAATCACAAGTACTTACTTTGGACCTTTAGAACCACACACAATGGTGTTTATTGTTCCGAGGCCTCGCCACGAAATTTTATCTTAATGGTGTTAATATAAACACAGGTTCGCTTCGCTAGCGCAATCCGAGTCAGGATGTGTTTGACCAGTGTTTGTTCCAAACAGCATGTAATATTACATTAATTGAATACAAAATAATTACGAACTCTATATGGGTAATTTAAATTTACTTAATTTACATCACCATATTATTTCACAGTAATATATTCCATAATTGACACACATAACTTCTAATAATCCTTTTTCACTTTCAAATAATTCACAAAATTTATTTTGTTAAAATCTTAATAACCAATGATGGAGTAAAAAAATGAAATTAATGAACTCCATAATGATATATTTTATATTAATCATAAACTATCTGCTGAGAACTTATCTTTTCTCTTAGTAAAATGGTACTTTTACGAATTCAATATATTCACTATAAAATCACTTTTAGCCATTCCAAATTCATACTTAGTTTCTTGCGAAGATCTAAATTATAAATATCTTCAATACTTGATAAATAAAAGAAATCTTTCTTTGCAAAAATTGCATAATGACATCCTCATACCAAAAATTACTCACTTCGAGTTTTTATTTTTTATTTTAATTAAATTAAAATTTTAAACCATCGAAGCAGATCTTCTCAAATAATAACGTAAGTAACAGTATCCAAAACAATATCAGTTTCCTTTTTCTCACTGTATTTTCCATTCTTTTGTCGTGGTGAACTTTATCGCGCAAAATAAAAGCGCATAAAATAAGGACTCAATGTTATTTTCTGCCAGTCAACTATTGATTGAGCGGTCACTTCCAGAAAACTCACTTGTTGTTTCATGCAACTGCATCAATAATAATAAAAATAATTTACATACCAATGGGCGTCGGACTCACTTCTGATATGTTAGATTCGTACACATACTCACTCACAAATTGGATATTAAATACAAATAGTCTGAAACCAACTTATTCACCAATACCATAATTTGCCAATTCAAGCCATCAATCATAGGTACACAACACACTCATTTTTATAAGGCTCTCGGGTCATGGCGTTCTAGCCCGCGGTCAACGTTCGAATGCCACAAGGAATATCTTTTTGTTATCCCGTACGACTCCCCGCGTTCCTCAGGTGTAATTTGATAGCCAAATCAGCGTTAATCCTTTCGTTGCTAACAGGTACGAGGGTTGTTCAAAATGTAATGAGAATGGGATATTTCTAGCCATCACAAAAATCTGAAAAAAATTGGGTAGCTAATTCTTCACAAGAAACTGATAAATAAATCACCATTGCATTTAAGAATTACATTCATCTGAACACGACTCAATTTTTTTCAGAATTTTGTGTTGGCTAGAAATATCCCATTCTCATTACTATTTGAACAATCATAGTATGTACAGCGATTGTTCTACTGCAGCTGCCATGCCTGTAGCAACTCTTGGTTAAAACGTTTTTAACAACATATTTAAAGGTTAACTTAACTTGAGTCAAAAGTGTGTAAAATGTACTAAGTATTCCGTTTGACTTGTCGCAGTTGTCGAGTTTACGCGACGAGTTGTCGGGCGGCGAGGACAAATGGAAGCAGCGCCGCAACGTCAGCTTCGACCAGAACAGGCATCTGGAGGAGGTCACTAGGGAGAGGTAACAATACTTGTTATATCATCATTTCGGCCATAGGACCTCCACTGCTGAACATAGGCCTCCCCTAATGCTTTCCACGTTGATCGATTGGTAGCGGCCTGCGTGCATTCATAGTTATATCATGTCTGTCGTAATAGCTGAGGTCACAGCACACATCCTTCTTCTCACAGTCAGATTAATATTATTCAAGCTTGCAACGCGTTTTTCAACTAGTCCACTTTCAAAAGTATCCTGCCTCCAACCAATTTTAATGCAGCCGCTGCCACCTATCTTCTTGTGGTCATCGGTTAATCGAGGTGTGCAGTGCATCCCACACGTTTACCAAATGTTTGCGTGCATCATCGGCCGCGTAGCCAATAGAAGCAGCATCAGGCCGAGCGGCTGCCTCGTCAAAGCAAGTGGGGACGCTGCCTCAATGCCTCAAAACCGCTGCGTCCTGAGGCAAATTCTTAGCCGCGAGCCGAGCCATATTTTGTCGCTCGAGACGAGGCAGCCGCTCGGCCCAAGGCTGCCTCTAGACTCTAGTGGATCATCATCATCATCATCATCATCATTTCAGCTGTCCACTGTTGAACATAGGCTTCCCCCAATGCTTTCCATGTTGATCGATTGGTAGCGGCCTGCGTCCAGTGCTTCCCTGCTACCTTTACGATGTCGTCGGTCCACCTTGTAGGTGGACGTCCCACGCTGCGTTTTCCGGTACGCGGCCTCCATTTCAGAACCTTTCTGCCCCATCGGCCGTCAGTTCTGCGCACTATGTGCCCTGCCCATTGCCACTTCAGCTTGCTAATACGTCGGGCTATGTCAGCGATTTTGGTTCGTTTACGGATCTCCTCATTTCTGATTCGATCTCGCAAAGAAACACCAAGCATAGCCCTCTCCATAGCACGCTGTGCAACTTTGAGCTTCTGTATAAGGCCTATAGTGAGAGGCCACATTTCCGAGCCACTCTAGTGGATACGCGGCCAATATATCCCTCTGGAATATTTTATGAATATTATATTGTGTTTCCAGGGACGGACTGAAGCGCGTAGCGGTGAGCCTGCACCGCGTGGTGGGCCAGCTGGTGGCGTACTGTGCGTCGGCCGAGGACGAGCTCAACCGGACCGTGCTGTCGCATCTGCTGGCTCGAGTGCTGCCCGACGCGGACGAGTGAGTGTTGTGTTTTTTGTCAGGAAAAAACATTGATTTGTATACCCACCTGCCGCGGGGGAAGCTAGTGGGTTATGTGGGGTTCTTCCTGCCAGAAGGGCAGGAAGAACTCCAGGGCAGTGCTCTCGTTAGCCATAATATGAGTCGGGGACGCGGGACGTCACTATCGGCATTTTGCCCCAAACATTCGTTCGCGCTGGGGCAGCAGAAAAGTTCTTCGCGAAGAAAACCTGTACGTAGGTATTTTTATGCTGTGGTCCAGAGATGGATTGAGGGCGCGGGGTGAGATTGGACCGCGTGTGGCCAGCTAAAGCCTGGTCCGTGAGCACGTAGAATCCCGTCCAATGACCCCAAGCTACCCATCCTTATCGCTCGCGCGGAATTATATTGCTGTCGCGACTGTGCGACGCGGCGACTCGCGCCCGCAGTGAGTGTGCGAGGCGTAGTCACACGTTACATATACCTACCTATCGTAGCACTTTGGCAACGTGTGACTGCGGTTTTCCAAATATGAAAATTACTATGCAACTACATTGGCAACTTTGTTCAGTTCAGTATTCTGAAAATCTTGTTTTATACTTTTTCAGCGTCGTTTTTTGTCGTAGTTGGGTTTTAGTTTTTTTACTTTTTATTTATTATTACACTATTCTAGTCCGATCGACGAGAGACAGATAGGTAAATAAACTAAATCGTACGTCGTAACTGCATCAATATACGGTTAGCGCTTGTTTAGCGACTCAAACGTCGGATTTGTGTAAACCTCACGAATGTGTTATCTACTCGTAATTTATTTGGTATCTGTTTTGGTAACTGTGGATTCTATATATTTGATGGGCTTTTTTGTGCGGATGTCGTGCGATTATGGTGTTTAATACTATTTCCCTTCTTATTCGCTAAAAATATTGTTACTTATTTTTGGTTAATTTAAAATGAAACCTAACTTCAAAGTGTCCAAGTCACTTTGTGTTATTTTAAGGGCAAGTCCTTTAGACCGCTTTCATCCACTCCATTATCATGCACATTAATCAGGCGCCTGCGCCACTGCAATGGCCTCGTGTGAGTGAACTGTTCATTTGCATAGGCACTGGCACTGGACCGCTTTGTTTCAGCGTTCTATTGTGTTCTTTGTAAAATACGCTCCATCTTGCACCTCCCTAGTACATAATTTGAAAACTAACCCTTAATTTCCTGTATCTAATAACTATCTTGAAGACACTTTCAGATCCCAACTAATATTATAAATGCGAAAGTAACTCTGTCTGTCTGTCACGCTTTCCCGCTTAAACCTCGCAACCGATTTTGATGAAATTTGGCATAGAGATAGTTTGAGTCCCGGGAAAGAACATAGGATAGTTTTTATCCCGGTTTTTGAAACAGGGACGCGCGCGATAAAGTTTTTCTGTGACAGACAAAATTCCACGCGGGCGAAGCCGCGGGCGGAAAGCTAGTAATATAAATGTTGTGAAGTCATCAAAACCGCGACAAAAATCGAAACAACAAAAGAAGTCTGGACTGAGCTTGTTTTCTCAGAAAACACGAACTTATGCTGAAATGTTGTGCATCGGAGAGACAGCTTGTCGTCAGGTATTATTCACTCCGCCGGTCCCATTTGTCGCCAACAATCGCTCAAGATTAATGTGGGGAGTAAAGGCATATGAAGTGACAGGCCTAATATACTTGCAGCCACCTGGGTGTGTGACTCATCCTAGGTAGTTATAGGTTTGTGGTCTATTTTGTGTTGTCAGTTTTTGTAGCTTTCGACTATCGAAGATTAATGAACACGAGAAAATGGAATAAAGTGACAGACTCATATACTTGTAGCCACCTGGGACTGTGACACTGTGACTCATCCTATGTTATAGGTTTAAAGTATATTTGGTTGCTTGAGTCTTTTAGGTTTTCATAGTTCTTTTTAGTTCTTTGGGCATAATCAAATGATCTGCCTAACAAGTGAATTGTCTTTGAAATAAAAGGTAGGTAGTTAACTTGAATGGCTTACCTGGGAAATTCTCCAACTATAGCTTGGCCTTTAAGATAATCCATACCTTTTACATGTATCTTTTAGTGAAATTCGGTGCTTCCAAATGAAAATAACAATATTTCCTTGCTCTCGTTAGCAGACGTGACGTGGAAATCAACTGGCGTAAAATTTCCGACGGAAGCCCCGATGCAGTGTGTCTGTAGGTGAAGCTATGTTTAGCGGTTGCACTCGCCTCTTGCGCTAATCGCCCACCTATTTGTGCAACACGCGAAGTTAATATCTGGGGGTGTATCCATGAATATGTGCGCGTGCGCTGAAAATACGTCAAAATAGACTAAGGTTGTCAATTATGTCAAAATTAGGCTTGTACGAAACGAACTTCTGATACGTTCAAGTTGCTATTAGTTTAATCCTAGTTTAAAATGTCTTCTTTTCAATAATCAAAATCATGCTTATTGTTGAAGTCTTGAAGATTAATGCTTATTGTTGAACTCGCGCTTTAGTAATGACAGTGAATCAGTAAAATCTTTTTAAGTCTGCAACCGAATGACAATTATTTTTATTGTTTTAATGTCTGGAGAAGCCCTAGGTACTGGCAGCGATCCAACTGCTGTGCCATTTTGATATTACAAATGTCCTGTTGGTTACTCGGAAACGTGTATCTGCTAATTGCTGAAGTAAACAGTTATGATTGCTAATTATTTTAGACGTCATTCGGTATCTTTTGATTGGACTGAATGCCCTTTTAGCTTTTGGCAACAGATCAATGGTCGTACCTTCGGCGAACTAGGCGGTAAATTTCGTCAAAACCTGTAGCGTTAAATTACTGTTATGTAGATTTAATTTGATTTTGTGGATGACTCACAGTGTTACTCTTGATTTGTGACTAGTTAATCTATTGTGCAATTGAGTAAGCTTTACTATTAACATGGGTGATTAGATTTTATTTCCTCAATTTGAGCCTTATGCTACAAGTTGAAGTAACCAAAAATAATTCCTAGTAGTATTCACATTAATTCCTAGTAGGTGCAATCGTTGCAGGTGATACAAGGTGATTTTATGGTTTCCCTATCTTTTGGCGTCGATCCAACAGCTGTGCTTGATTATTATAACCGTTCGGTTCTCCAGAAAAGCGTCGCTCGTAATTGGCGAAGGGAGGCGTCTATTTGCGCTGCGCGGGATTTGTTGCTTGTCGTTTGTTTACGGAGGGAGTGCTTGTTTTGGTTCCGTTGGCTGTCTGATATTTAGATAGAAACTGTCGGCTCCTCTGTCTATTTTTATAGTTATTATTGAATGATTTAAAGCGACATCTTATTATTAAGCTACTAAAGGTTTCAATTTTGTAATGGACACTTTTTCAGAAATGCTATCTGTGTAACTTTAATCGGACCAAGTATTTTCACAGAAGCTTATAAACAAACATATCAATTTCTTTTTCAGAACAATTGCCGAAGAGGAATCCCGTCCGTCCACGCCCAACTTATCCACAGAACTCAACACCAGCTTAGTATCCCGCGGGAAGCACGTGCACTTCGCTCCAGACCTTCACTCTATATTGTCGGAGCTTGATGAGGAGAGCGTGGGGGGCTTCCTGCAGCAGCAGCGTGACGTCAGCGCCGACACCAAGCGGGAGCTCGAGAGCTCGCTGCAGCGGCTGCGGCAGGAGGCGCACGAGCTGCTGGAGCTGTCTGCGAGGCTCACGCACAGTAAGTTGATGGCTGCACAGCATCCTGCTGGACGAGGCAGCTTTCTGCAGCGGCTGCGGCAGGAGGCGCACGAGCTGCTGGAGCTGTCTGCGAGGCTCACGCACAGTAAGTTGATGGCTGCACAGCATCCTGCTGGACGAGGCAGCTTCCTGCAGCGGCTGCGGCAGGAGGCGCACGAGCTGCTGGAGCTGTCTGCGAGGCTCACGCACAGTAAGTTGATGGCTGCACAGCATCCTGCTGGACGAGGCAGCTTCCTGCAGCGGCTGCGGCAGGAGGCGCACGAGCTGCTGGAGCTGTCTGCGAGGCTCACGCACAGTAAGTTGATGGCTGCACAGCATCCTGCTGGACGAGGCAGCTTCCTGCAGCGGCTGCGGCAGGAGGCGCACGAGCTGCTGGAGCTGTCTGCGAGGCTCACGCACAGTAAGTTGATGGCTGCACAGCATCCTGCTGGACGAGGCAGCTTCCTGCAGCGGCTGCGGCAGGAGGCGCACGAGCTGCTGGAGCTGTCTGCGAGGCTCACGCACAGTAAGTTGATGGCTGCACAGCATCCTGCTGGACGAGGCAGCTTCCTGCAGCGGCTGCGGCAGGAGGCGCACGAGCTGCTGGAGCTGTCTGCGAGGCTCACGCACAGTAAGTTGATGGCTGCACAGCATCCTGCTGGACGAGGCAGCTTCCTGCAGCGGCTGCGGCAGGAGGCGCACGAGCTGCTGGAGCTGTCTGCGAGGCTCACGCACAGTAAGTTGATGGCTGCACAGCATCCTGCTGGACGAGGCAGCTTCCTGCAGCGGCTGCGGCAGGAGGCGCACGAGCTGCTGGAGCTGTCTGCGAGGCTCACGCACAGTAAGTTGATGGCTGCACAGCATCCTGCTGGACGAGGCAGCTTCCTGCAGCAGCGTGACGTCAGCGCCGACATCAAGCGGGAGCTGTCTGCGAGGCTCACGCACAGTAAGCATCCTGCTTGATGAGGCAGCTTCCTATAGCAGCGCGACCCATCAAGCGGGAGCCCGAGAGGCTTCCTACAGCAGCGCGAACTCACATCAAGCGTAGCATCGCTCGTTTCAGCCAAATGACGTCCACTGCTGGACAAAGGCCTCCCCCAAGGATTTCCACAAGTAATGGTCTTGCACCGTCCGCATCCAGGCACCTCCCGCGACCTTTACCAGATTGTCGGTCATCAGTAGTGCCTGCCCACACTACGTCTTCCGGCACTCGAGAACTTTTCTGCCCCAACGGCCATCAGCTCTGCGAGCTATGTGCCCCGCCCACTGCCACTTGATTTTAGCAATTCTGCGAGCTATGTCGGTCACTTTGGTTCTCCTCCTCAAGGGTAGCACAGTAAATTCTATGCCTTTTTCTAAGATTATTATTTTATTATTATTATATGGGCTCTTTAAAATTTGATATTTGAGCGGGACTTTAGTCATTCGTTTGCAAGAACACACTTATTGTTGGTAATTATCATCTTTATTCCAACACAGTTGCGACTAACTTCCGGCTAAAAACGGCTCAAATATACGAATCATTGTTGTTGCGAAAATTAAATGTGTTTATTTTTATGGGACTTCTATTTAATAAATAGGTATATTATTTACATACATTTATTAATCTATTATGTAGATACATAAATTTCATAGCAACATAACAAGATAAAATTTCATGGCTTAAATTGTGTAAACATTAAATAATTAAAATTGAGACAAATTAACAATGTAAAATAAAACTTAACAATTTTGTATGTAAAATGTAAAGGTTGTTACATACACTGAAACTACGGCCATTTAACAGTAATTTTTGAAAAATCTAACTATTTCTAATACTAGACGATTAAAATACACACGAAAATTAAATTCTAATAGAATGCTATTTGTGTATCTAACAACCTCTCATTTCGTACATCATGAGATCAGTTGGTACAATAATTTTGGTGGTATAGCTTATTACTTAATATAGTATTGAAATTATCATAAAGTAAGGTTGCATACAAAAGAAAGTCTTTAATTCGGGTAGCAAGTGGCGGAACAATATAGTAATACGAGTAGAATTATCATTAGATATGACTACAAGATATGCTATTTAATGTCGAAATAGTGAATAATCGATTCGTTGTCACAAGAATCTAAGAATTCGAGAAACACTAGTAAATGCTTGAGCTTCGAGTTATTAAAAGTTGAGAGATTCAAATTCACTTCGATCCGCTATTAAGAGAAATATTAGGAATTACCTACTTTGTTTCTAATTTACAGAAGAGCGCAATGAATCTAAAATGCTGGAGTCGGGTCAGGTCCAGATCACAGAATTAGTTCAAGACCTAGACACCAACCAGAATTCCTGTGATAATTGCGAGCTGCATAGAAAGGCAAGTGGTTTGATAGTTCTATTACGTAAATAGAGAAACTTAATACATAATTACGCATACAAAAGTGTGTAGCCACGCCCCTAAACTAAGTGAGGGGCGTAGCCTAAGTCACGAACATCTATTTGTTTTTATTTATCATAGACAATTGTTTTTCAGAACATGGAAGAAGCGATGGCAGAGTGCCTTCAACGTGAAAATTTGCTCCGGTCCGATCTGGAAGGAGCCATGATCAAGATAGCTCACCTCATGACGAGCAACGAAAGGCATTCTTCTGATCTTATCGCAGAAGGGTAAGTGTGTGTGTTTGTTTTTATTCACAACGAGGAAGCTTTTGGCCTGCACTTCACCTGATGGAAATAATGATCAGGCTGAAGTTTTGAAATGAAACTTATTTCAATTTCATGGGATCACTCAGTTGCTTTTTACAATACCTACAAGAGGCAGTGGTACTATTCTACTCTTTATATTATTTATAAAGGCCTGTGCATACCGCGTTTTTAAGCACACCATCTACTCGTGTTTATAACGATACAAGTTGGACTGTTCTGTAGGAAAAATGCGCGCCATCGACGCGCGTTTCTAAAACGTGGTGTGCATGTAACTTAAGTGGTATTTATTGTAAACGTGGTGTGCACAAGTTCTAAGTAGTACTTATCATAAAGTGGTATTTACCTTTTATGTATATTTCTAATTGTTCCCGCAGAACTAATTATTGAAATACATTCTTGAGTTTTGAGAATTTATTCATATACTTTACACAATAATATTACATTGAAATTGGAGTTAACGTGCCGGCCGGCACGTCAAGCCGGTTCGGTGGCTGATAGGCGAGAGAGGGATACAGTGAATGGAAGAGTGAACGCGCGCGCGGACCGAATGAGATCGAACGATAGTGATGTGTGGACATCCTGTCTGTCATAGACACTGATTTTAACACAGAATGTTATGTATGTGTTTTTCCCAGATACGGCACCGGACAGCAGCTGCAGGCAGCTCTGTCATCCGCTCGCATGTCGCCGCGCCCGCGATCGTGTCACACACCTGGGACCATGTCATTAGACGGATGCTCGTCGCCGCGTGCGCATGTGTCGCGCTTAGCACAGGACCTCGAGATGCTGCATAAGGAGCGCGATGACTTACAGCAGCAGGTGGGTAACTTAGATATTGGTCCAGGCGGCAGTTGTCTCTCTAGGCACCGGGCAGCAGCTGCAGGTGTCTCAGTAGCAAACTTGTTCTTGTCACACACCTGGGACTATGTCTCTAGACGGCTGCTCGTCGCTGCGTGCGCATGTGTCGCGCTTAGCACAGGATCTCGAGCTTCTGCAAAAGGAGCGCGATGACTTACAGCAGCAGGTGGGTAACTTAGATGTTAGTCCAGGCGGCTGGTGTCTCGTCTAGGCACCGGGCAGCAGCTGCAGGTGTCACAGTAGCAACCTCGTTCGTGTCATACACCTGGGACTATGTCTCTAGACGGATGCTCGTCGCCGCGTGCGCATGTCTCACGCTTAGCACAGGACCTGGAGATGCTTCATAAAGAGCGTGATGACTTACAGCAGCAGGTGGGTAACTTGGATATTAATCCAGGCAGTAGTTGTCTCGTCTAAGCACCGAGCAGCAGCTGCAGGTGTCTCAGTAGCAACCTCGTTCGTGTCATACACCTGGAACTATGTCTCTAGACGGATGCTCGTCGCCGCGTGCGCATGTCTCACGCTTAGCACAGGACCTCGAGCTTTTGCATAAGGAGCGTGATGACTTACAGCAGCAGGTGGGTAACTTAGATATTGGTCCAGGCGGCAGTTGTCTCGTCTAGGCACCGGGTAGCAGCTGCAGGTGTCTCAGTAGCAACCTCGTTCGTGTCACACACCCGGGGTCATTAGAAGGCTGCTCGTCGCCGCGTGCGCACGTGTCGCGCTTAGCACAGGACCTCGAGATGCTGCATAAGGAGCGCGATGACTTACAGCAGCAGGTGGGTACTGACTTACTATAGATTGTTTCATCCACGAAGACGCGCCCCACCATTCTTCCTCTAATGTTCGAGTGTTATCGGTACACGCTAAATTATCCATGAGTGCACACGCACACTACAATAATGACGGATTGCTCGGATCAAACTCCCCGCACCTCGCGTTTCCCTCGACCAAAAATTCGTGGATGAAATGATCTATAGCTATAGGTCCAGAAGACAGGTGTCTTGTCTTGGTACCGGGCAGCATAAGCTCTGGGTCTGGTAGTAAGCGAGTACCATAGCCGCGGCACCGGCCAACGATTTCGGGTACATCCGTAGCCTGATAATCTCATTCCTTGTTACAATGGATTCGATTTTATGCTGTATTATATTTTTCTACTAACAGTATTAAATATCTAGCGCATAACTGAGTCATTGCCTGAGGTATGGAAGGCGGCACAGGAGAAAGGTGACATATAATACCATTTATGACATGACAGAGCATACAAGTCTGAAGCACATAAGAAGTTTCGCTGACGTTTGACGTCACAAAATCATCCTGCCGCGCTGCTCTCACACCTCAGACACTGACTCTGTTCTCTCTGAGCTGAGACCTATAGTTATTACAACCCAATATTACTAACCATTTTGTATGTAACATAGCTAAATAATATCAATATTTAACGACTGCACTTTCACACACTATAAACCTATGTATTATGTACTGTATGATATGTATATTAACCACTTGCGTACCGTTTGCAACGGCTCGCACACAGGTGCGGCGGATGACCGACTCGCCCGTACATAAGATTTGCTGCGAGAAGGTAAACTTGCATGCACCCTGTATAGTCTACTGCTTAATATTATTCTGTCTTTTTTTGTATTATAGGACAATTAAGATTTATCTACCTTCTTATAATTTATATGATTTTCTTTGTATATTTGAACGAAAATGCATGCGACTTACATTTTATTTGCAGGTTATGTATCCAAGAATTTGTGTCATATTCTGTGTATAGCTGTAATTTGATGTTGTGTTATCTAATGTCTAGATGAATGATGATGAATAGTTTTAAGTTCATTCTTGATGTTATTTTATTTACCTGTGTGCATGACCAATCTAGACTGTTAAAAGTGGCTCCAAATGGTTCGTGTAGTATTTACACACGGTGCTGCTCGCCAATTCTGTTACTTGAACTTGGCTGGACACGTTACCGCGTATTTGACGAAAACTATTTACTTGAGTATTTTTGCCAGATCATAAAAGATAAAGATTTTAACCCCTTTTATTTATAAAAGCTACTCTATACTATTCTTACCATTCTGTCCTGTTTTTGGGAAAAAATATAAAGCAAAATCTATTTTCTTCTGCACCAGTTAAATACTTTAAACAAGCACAATTTCCGCTACATCTCTCCTTCCATTAGCTCGAGGCGGCCAACCGTCAGCTCCGCTCCACGCGTCAGTTCGTAGAGGAGCAGGCAAGCGAGCGCGAAGCGGAGCGCGACGAGTTCGCCAAGCGGCTAGCGGATCTCCGCGACGAGAATGCTCGCCTCGCCACGCGCTTGCAGAACAACGCCAGGATACTTAACGAGGTAGGTGTTGTTTAGGCCGTGAGTGTAGGTCGGTATTGTCGTCAATGTTAACAGCTTATAACCAACAACTTCTAAGTATGTTATTAGGGTAAGATCCAAGAGCGATAACACAACTTATTTTCAAATAGATGAAATATTAGGTTCTCAGTAACATCTCGTGTTCCTTGATCTTGGACTACATAAATCGTTTCATCCACGAAGACGCGCCCCACCAACTTTTGATCGAGGGAAGCGCGGGGTGCGGGGAGTTTGATCCGAGCGTCATTATTGTAATGTGCGTGTGCACTCATGGATAATTTAGCGTGTACCTATTACACTCAAACATTAGCGGAAGAATGGTGGGGCGCGTCTTCGTAGATGAAACGATCTATACTTACTAGATAAGCTTTTCAGAATATAAGTTGTGCCATAGCGCTTAGAGTGGTCTTAATTACTTTATGTTTAAAGCCCGAAAAGGCCCGCCATATACGAACAACTTGAAGCAGCTATCATCGACAGCTTCAAGCTGCGACTGCATAGAAAACTATGGTATTCTACGTACACACATACGCGGAACCGCTCAAGCAGTTCTGACTGCTTCATGCGGTTGGCAGCAAAGAAGACCTGTTGATTGTAGAATTAATTAGCTATTGACTATGACTGCAAGAGCGGTCCGTGTATGTTGATTACCGGCTAACTGCTCGAACTCTGTGTATGGCGGACCTAAGGATTTCCTCGTGTTATTTTTTATGTGAAGTTTAAAAATATATCTTTTTATTGCTGTTACTTTTATTTAATGTTGGTTTAGGCTGGTGCAATGCCCATTAATATACTGTGTTGTTGTGGCGTAGTAGGTGTTTACTAATAACATATATTTTTGTATTTATGTACTATTTCTATCAATAAACATGTCTGATTTGTATTTTTAAAGGTTGTTGTTAAAATCTAATATGCATAATCAGAAGCATGTTTATGTTTTATATGGTGTTTGTTTATATTTTATAAGTGTGCCGGACAATACGCTATGCAAAACAATTTAGTTTCATTTTTCAAAAGCTAAGTTTTGGTTGAGGTTACCCAACTAATAGCAGAAAGAACATAGAGGTTGGTGGTAAGCGGAATGATAAATACTTGAGTACATCACTATCATTTATTTATTTTTAAAATTCCTAAAGATGATTTATTTGGCATTATATCAGCACCAGTGAATCAGTTGTAATACTACTGCGGCTATTTCTCAGCATAAAACAATTCTTTTCTTGAGTAAAGAACTGCTGAGTGTTTCCATCTTCTTTCTGCTATTACCAGTATAGTGAGTCCAATAATTTTGCGTCTTTTCTAGAGTAGCCTCTGAGTGTTGCCATGTTCTTTCTGCTATTAACAGTATAGTGAGTCCAATAGTTTTGCCCGCGTACGGTCCGCTAATGTCACTAACTGCGTGTTTAGATGCACCGCCTGCGCTTGTCACAGTGCGCCTGTCGCTCGCAAGATGCACAAGTAAGTCGGCTAACACTACCTAACACTTTTGATCATTTAATTTGAATCAGTAATGGATAAGAGATTTAAATTATCGACAATAATCAATAACAGTAGCTGAAATGAAATTGTGCAAGAAATCGCAATGTAACTTACTGATTCGAATTAAAAACTAAATTAAATATACCCTTACCTGTCTTATAAATATTAAATTGTAGTTAGAAGTAAAATCGCCAACACATTAATTTATCTTGAAATGATGATTTTCCAATGGATCTCGAAAAATATAAAATTACGTTTGGAAAATTGTACATCTTCAAGCAGATTAATGTGTTGCTGACTGTACATAAGTGGCGCGTCAACTGCTACTGATGTTGCACACCCTATCATGGTATGGTTGAAGTGCTCACTACAGTACGTTATTTAAGTATTTGCACATTTAACAGCATGTTTTTGCACTAGTAGAATAACATTCAACACTAGAGTTGGTATTTGTTGCTAACAACAGTGATTTACCCTTTCGTATTGTTCAAATAGTTGAGTCATAGCAATGTTCGATACAGGTGTATTTATGTTTGGTGCTTGTGAAACAAATCTCAATTTTGTTAGGTGGAGCAACTAGAAGCCCAAACGCGAGAGATGAACCAAATCATCAATGAACTGGAAACCCGCAAAGCTGCGTCCGACGAAGAGCTCAAAGCGACGGAAGAAAAAATCATCCTACTACGAGACATAATAGCCAACCTTGAAAGTCAACTGGAGCAGAAAACAACTCATGAGACAGAAATATTGGATGAGTTAGATACTATGAAGAAGACGATAGAAGAGCGAGACAGCAAGATGAGGTCGTTATTAGGGGAACTAGAGTCGTTGAGGAGTGAGAAGTTGGAGCAGACTGATGTGACGTGCTTCAAGTGCGGGTCTGAGGAAGATAAGTACAGCGAGCTGATGGACAAAGTAAAGGAGCAGGTAAGCTATTTAAACCATTGGATATTTTTTGAAAGAGTAATGGATCATTAGTGTTCGTAACAGTAGCTTAGGTAAAATGGTAAACAAAAAAGGGAGTTCATTTTTGAAATAATTAAGTCACAAAACCTAGATTATTTAATATCTAAACAATGAAGACCTGATGGCCACACACTGTAAGACATATTAGGTAGGCGTCCCACTCAGTGGACTAAGGAAAGGAATTGATAAAGGTCGCGGGGAGTATCTCGATCCTGGCAAACGGCATTGTGTCCAGCAGCGGACGTCTTTTATTTGAAACAAACGAAGAATATAAATTCTCACCAAAAGAAAGAACAGAACAGAACTTTCTTCTTAATCATCATTATTGCTTGCTTCATATTACCCTTATTTATTATTTATTTATTTATTTATTCATGAATACCCTTACATCTCATAAACATAGACAGGCCTGGCTCACTCCGCGCGGTACATCCGATAATTACCTACAGCGAAGCGCCCCGCCGGCGGATATTATATCAGTCGAGTGGCACGCGCGCGCTCGTCAGGACGCTGGCGTGCGTTGTAGTATGATTATAATTCTATGATCGAAGCATTATTTAAAAATGGACATAAAGAGAAAGAAATATTGTGCGGCGTTCGGGTGTTTAAATTCGAAAAGTAATCTACCGGATTTATCTTTTTTTTTCGCTTCCCAAAGATGCTGAAAGGTATGTTGGCCATGTAGGTAATCAATAATTCTTAGGATAGTATAGGAACCTAACCTACCATGACTACTGCTCAGAATGCGTTCGTTCGTTTCAGCCAAATGACGTCCACTGCTGGACAAAGGCCTCTCCCAAGGTTTACCATAATGAATGCATACTTACCTACATACGTAGGTCATTACAAATAAGTAGATTAATTATTTTTTCACTAGACAGCAACCTTAACAGCGTAAGAAGAGTTCAGAGGCACGCGATAGAAAGAGACAAAACTTGTAGGTGAATAAAATTGTAGGTACGTAGTGCTGTGCGAGCTGAATTCCACTGTATCGCGTCGTAGCAAGACTCGCATTTATTTAAATCGTCTTGTGGAGTAATCCTTCTGTACCTGTACTATTACTTATTCTGTGACATAGAGTTGATTTTGTAGTGTCTCTGGTTGCAGGAGAGGATCACTGGCTCACGCATCCAAGAGGCGTGCTCTTACTAAATTACACTCAATTCCCATAACCATAGAGTACATTTTGCAGTGTCGCTGGCTGGAGGAGAGGATCCACCGGCGCACGGCGCGGCTGGAGCGCATCCACGAGGTGTGCTCGACCTCGTGCAGCGAGCCCAGCGAGGACGTGTCGCTGAGGGACCAGAGGGATGTAGAGGTACGTGACTAGTTCTCTATTTAATAGAAAGCAAAATAGTGCCTATCGTCGTCGTCGTCGAATAACGACGTATCTGCAAAATGTTATCTTGCACAAACACGTCTCTGTACTGCGTTAGAATAATCACATCCATGTATGTTTGATTCTGTAGCTTCGATATGTTTATGAAGTTTGAAAAATAAAAATAATTTTATATAATAAAGGAACTACTTTAGAGTAATTTAATGGCCAAAAACAGATGTTCGCGGATGTAGACGACGACGACGCTATGGTTCATGATTCCCAATGGGGGCAGAACTTTCTGCTGAGTATGGTGGTAGGGCCTGTTCTAAGTCCGCCTAACTTTCTACCATTGTGGTTTCGGCAAAAGGTTAAAAGCAAGATAAGCCAAATTCCTAGGTGGTCGATGTAATTTCCCCGGGACAAACTTGACCTTCGTTGGTTGGGTTTTTATTGGCAGTCAAGCTGTAGATCCTGGCTACGGGATCTAGCTGAGTTGCAGCGGAGGGAACGAGAGGTGGGAATAGGTGGTCGAGGAACCTAGTGAACCTCACTGCCACTTTTAGCTTGATATACACTTGTTTAACGAAGATGCATGCCAAAAACATTCCAGTTGTGGTTAATACAGTAATTTCTCACAGGTGAAGTCTCCTGAAAGCCCGCCAACGCCACGCAACGAGAACCTCGTGGAACTACTTGGCATATGGGAGAGTTTGGAGGCACACTCGCGCGCGGAAGACGCGGCGCTCAAGCGCGTGCGCGATCTTGAGATGCAGCGCGCACAGCTGAAGGACGTCGCACAGGTATGTGACGCCTTAGGCCCAGAACAGACGGTGAAACGCAACTGCAACGAAACTGCAACTGCTAGTTACTTTTGAGTTGCATCTAAGTTTCTGCCATAGCGTCCGTTGAGAGACCACACATGACGCGACCAGTTTGAAACTTTCAGTTTCAGTTTCATTCATAAGAATCATCAGAAAGTTGCAGTTTCGTTGCAGTCTTGGGCTTTATTCCTCGTCATCAGGTTATCTAGCCTTCACTGCAGGAGTCATCATCATCATCATCATCTTAGCCATAGGACGTCCACTGCTCAACATAGGCCTCCTCCAATGTTTTCCATGTTGATCGATTGGTAGCGGCCTGCGGCCAGCGCTTCCCTGCTACCTTTATGATGTCACTGCAGGAGTACGACTTTCTAATGGACAGAGGCTTAAAGAGGCCTGATGTTGACATTTATACTGCTTTTTGTGATATTCATGATGTGAGGTACCATCCTCATAAATTCTATTCCATCAGCTTAAATGTTCTTGTAGTAAGACCACCTGCTTTAGATCCAGAGGTCCCTGGTTTGATTCCCAGTGAGGGATAAATGTCCCATTTGGTAAGATGCAGGCCGAGAGCTTCCTCGTTGTGGATAAAAAAAACTTTTATTGTATAGCGCAAAATCTGTCAGCAAAATAGTACTAATTAACATCAGAGTTTACTTTGAATGTATCGTCCGTGAGTAATTGTAGCTGCTAATCGTGTAAAATACCCACGTCACATTTTAGTCTAATAATTTGAATTGATTTCTATTCGCCAATAACCAGCCAAATCTTCATGAGAGTATACTCTCTTACCTTTCCCAACGTAAAGGCAGGCTTTAAATACAACATGAGTAACTCACCTCTAACTACAGCAATAACTCAAAACAATGACGCAAAAAAATAATAGCGGAGTCAAACAATGACGTGCGCCAAGCGCTACATAGCAGTAGTCCGCCAACTGGGTCCAACATTTAGCTTTTGGCGGGCCGCCGGCGACACGCGATATCCACACAACTGGTTCTCAAACTTTAGTCAGCTGAAAAGCGGTTTATAGTCGCAACAATTTTGAAACGTCAATTGGCAAAAATCTAAACCTAACCCAGTATTGATAGTAGCGCCCTCCCTACAATGTTATAGCTGGGACGGTTCAGTGTAGATCATCTATCTATCTAAATAAATAAAAATGAATTGTTGTTCGTTAGTCTGATTAAAACTCGAGAACGGCTGGGCCAATTGAGCTGATTTTGGTTTTAAAATGTTTGTCGTAGTCCAGCCAGGGTAGGTCTAAACGGTGAGCAAATGAGAAAAAATTGCGATGGCTTATTTATTGCCTTTAAGGCGGAACAAAGTTCGCCGGGTCAGCTAGTCTGTAATATATTATTATGCTTTATAAAAAATCAAATCAAAAATATCCTACCAACACACTTTCGTACTTGCAAAGAAAGTAAAAATCCGCACGTTTAGACGCTAAATATGAATTTATTTACGGAAGTACGGATGACGTTTTGAATGTCATGCTAACAGCCAGCTGCATACACACACCCTTTAAAATTAACAACGTTAACTGAGAGAGACTATTAAGGCGTCGACACATCTGTCAGACTTCGTGTTACGACGAAAATAAATAAACAGTTTTAAAAAGGGTTCAAAAGCTGTATGTTGTTTTAAAGTTGACTGAGTTTAGTGTGAACAGGTGCTTCAAAAATATCTAAAAATATACGTCTAACATAACTCATTAAATTGTATATCATATTTTATCAAACGTCATTTAAAATGCTATCAAAGCAAATTCAAGCTATAGAACCGAAATATTTGACATTTTATCACAATGATGTCAGTTTACATTTGTCTTAGTGCCAACATTGGGAACCATTAGCAAAAGCGTATAAATTGAAATGGGAAAGTTGTCCACAAAATCCCGAGTTCCCTAAGACCTTGAGATTTAATGGAGTTGGAAGCGCGCCAGGTGTATTCTGAAAGCGCGTGCGCAGCAGGCGCCATGTCACCAGCGCGCTGTTTGACAAGGGCATAGACAATGGTCGTTGATTTGTTTCTAATTACTAAAAAGCTGGTTCTTTGCTTATCATTTTCAAAGTGAAGCTTTCATCTTTTCTGGAAATTAACGTTAATTAAAATCGTAAAATTTTAAAGAATTGCGTGTGATGAAAAAATATTGTTTTGACAATGTAAGAAGCACGCAAAATGTTTATCTTTTTCTGTAAGACACAATTGCTGTGCATGACGTAACAACGGATTACTAATGTTTGGCCAAAAAACGTTTCCCAAATTATCACATCGCAAACAACGTTTCGCAAATTTTCATTTGGCAAATTCTCATTTGGCAAAACAACTTATTGCAAACTTTTAATTCGCAAATGTCGTTTTTGGCATATTATTGTTTAGCTAATTATTGTTTGGCAAAGTATGTTTTGCCAAATGTTTCATTTGGCAAAAATATTTCACGATAAACTATTTACAAAACAATTTGATTGGTGCATAGAATGGAATACAAATTAGCTTGTGGTTATTATTTTGTTTAGTGGGTAGTTAATATAATTTTTTTTCTAAATAAATTTTCATATTTCATTCTTTTTATCGAAATTTCCAAATGATTCATTAACAATAGAGATGATTCTAGCGCTCGGCGGCCGCTGCCGCGGCACGCTTCGCTCGCCTTCGCGCATTAAGGGTCACTGTTCTAACCTAACCTAACCTACTATTTTCTACAATACCTACTTTTTGCAACCATACTATTTTCTGCAATCTCTCTGTTTTACATAAAATTATTGTGAAAACCATGACCATGTGCCTTATGCTTTGATTTGTGGGTAACGGTGGGTACTCGTAAGTATGTGAAGTGTCAATTTGACCAAGCAAATTATTTGGGATATAATATTTGGCAAAATAAAACATTTGCTATATAAACATTTGCCAAGTAAAATTTGGCCAAATGTTAATTTGACCAAATGAATTAGTTGCGAAGAGTACAGTTGCTAAAAGTTTATTTGGGAAATGAAACTTTGGCGATAAGTTGTTTGCGAAGTGAAATTTGGCGAAAAGTAATTTGGCCAAACGGAAGGATACCCGTAACAACACCCCCGCGGTAGTTGTATCTCTCAACACATTTGAGAAATAATACTCTTATTCACTGTTTATTTGTAGTACAATCAGTTGGCAAGAGCTGGGGTTCAATCGAGTTTTCATTGTCACGGATTTCACCTCCACAAACCAATAAACAAATATTGTGGCTTACGTGCTAATAGTATTTTAACCTAAATAGTAAAAAATCTCGAGAACTTTCCTGCCCCAACGGCCATCGTCTCTACGAGCTATGTGCCCCGCCCACTGCCACTTGATTTTAGCAATTCTGCGAGCTATGTCGGTTACTTTGGTTCTCCTGCGGATCTCCTCATTTCTGATTCGATCACGCAGGGAAACTCCGAGCATAGCCCGCTCCATCGCCCTTTGGGTGACTTTGAGCCTTCTTATGAGGCCCACGGGCTGGAAGACGTAGCGTGGGCAGGCCTCCTACTAGGTGGACCGACGATCTGGTAAAGGTCGCGGGAAGAGCCTGGATGCGGGCAGCGCAGGACCGTTCATTGTGGAAAACCTTGGGGGAGGCCTTTGTCCAGCAGTGGACGTCATTTGGCTGAAAAGAAGAAGAAGAAGAAGTAAAAAATATTTCTCAGAAAGATGAATATTTAAAAAGTCAAACACAATTAAAAATAGAGCGAACGAATGAGAAAGGAATCCGTTTATTATTTTATTATACTGCGTAAATCAAAATGCTATGAGTTTTTGTTGCTGAATTTCTCGAAAGTCATAGCTCCGATAGCTTTCATCCGATAAATTGCTACATGAATCATTATGTATTATCCATTTATATTCGCGTGAAGTATCGATGTTGTTTTAGTTGGCTCTTACGGCTGTTTGTGTTAGTTCCGTGGCGAAGTGCTACGGAAATAGTTGGAAAGTGTTAACTACTTGCGAACGGCTTTGAGTTTACACCAAAAGCCATGTATCTTAAAGTTATAAAATATTTATTATTTTGTTTATGTTAAACTTTCGTACGTCAGTCACGATAGCATTTTGTTTTCGTTGATTTAGGCGCATACATAATGTCAAAAGCGCATGTCAAATCCATAAAAATCTTATTAATCTTCTTCTTCTATATAAATAAAAATGAATTGCTGTTCGTTAGTCTGATTAAAACTCGAGAACGGCTGGGCCGATTGAGCTGATTTTGGTTTTAAAATGTTTGTCGTAGTCCAGGGTAGGTCTAAACGGTGAGCAAATAATGAAAAATTGCGATGGCTTATTTATTGCCTTTAAGGCGGAACAGAGTTCGCCGGGTCAGTTAGTTTATGATATTTTTATCCTGTTTTGATTTTGTTGATTAGTTTATTAGGTTGAGTTAATAAAATAAAGTAATTACTCGTAGTTACGTTAGGTTAGGTTTAAGATTTTTATGGATTTGACATTTTGTGCCTAAACCTTTTCGTTCTCTAAAAGCGTCTAGAATAATAATCAACTCCATACTTATCTCCGACTCAAAATGAATTGCACATCATTTTAGACTCGCCCATCAAAAAATCACCCTCTATTTTTGCTCTCCCCTTCTCCCATAAATCTAATTACTTCAGCCATAACACTCATGCTCTGTAGTCGACTCCCTAAATTGAGTGTACAAATCACGGCCATTATTCTGTTCCAATTTGGATCTTACTTCGTCAACTTAAGAACTGACAGGTCGTTTGTTTTATCGCCATCGCTTTGCCTAACTGCCAGTATTCAAAGCAATTACAAATCTCAGAATACCCTCAACTAGTCCGTGGTTCCGTACGCTCTGAGCTGAGTCATTCAGCTCCATATAGCGATAGTACCTGCGATCTGTCACGCCACTTCAAAGGGACACGGGTAGCCTTTGAGATGTTTACATGTCGTCAATGGGCATTTAATGCTGCCATTTTGTTCCTTATTACGCCTGTAAATATGCA